TATAGGATAACAAAACATTTGGGCCTATAATTTATTATTTTCTTTAGAAAAAAACTGGGTACTGAAAATTATTTTGAGCCCTTAAACAAAATGTGTTATTAAAATGTCCGGCCCTTTTTAGTGTATATTTGAAAAGTGTGCCCTGGGCCTTTTGCCTACCTTTGACCCGTTTGGTTAGTAACTAACTAGTAAAGTCTCGTCTATTTTAGAAAAGCCTTGCGATCTTCAAGCGCGTATATCTTGAATATAGCGATTATTACAAGCAATACCTTTGGATTCATTATTTGATTACATAGGCCCAGAAAAAAAGAAAAACACCCACCCACATTAAATAATCTAATCAGAAAATTGAGTTAAAGAAAACCGACCAATGGCTTTACTTAAACCGATGATTTTGTCTGCAGTAGACTACGTAGGATTGCAATTTGTTCAAACAAGTTCGTGTGATCTCCAAGCTTAGCTGAGGGTTCTCATGTGCAAACGATTCAAATCTTTTGGAAAAAATCATGTGTATGTTTCTTGAGGCAAGAACTAGTAGCGCAGCTTCCTTGAGATCGGTGTCGGCAGGGATAGTCGAGAGTTCGAGGACGTCGAGAATGTTGTCAAAGCTGAGATTCATAGAAGAGATCAAAAGATCTCTGCAAATATCTTGGAGATACTGAATGTCATACTTGTCGGCAGCTAGATAGAGAGCTCGAATGTGTTTGTTGTCAGGGCTCAAGGTTCCGCTGTAGAAGAATTCAAGGAGTGACTTGAGTTCTTCGTAGCTCAGATCAGGGATAATGATTGATTTCTCTGGTGCAACTTTGCATTCATCAGACTCCAACATGTTTCTAAACACTTTTGATTTCACTGCCTGTCGTATACATCAAGAAAGAAAAAAGATGATTAGTTATACTACTATATATAATACTCCAAATAAGTGATATATATAGTTCGATCGAAAAGATTTTACCAAAACAGCTTTGTGGGAAGGAATTCCAGAACCATTGTCACCAGGTTTGACGATAATATCAGGATGTATGGCTTCTTTCAATGCCATAACATGCTCACTGAGGAATCCTACTCTATCGATTTTCCTTCTTTTGGTGTTATCTGCCATGTTTTCTTCTCTCCCCCTGTCAATACAACTTGATCAAGTTAGAATCATACATTCATCAAAACCCTAATTAATGAAACCCTAGAATTGTATAGTACTACCAAGCCACTCAACGATTAGAAATAATCAAGCAAGCATGCAAGAATTCAAAGGAATACACACCTAAAAGACCTAGACGATATGGAGAAGAAACCGATAATGACTTGGCACTTTACAGAGAAAAGATCTCAAGAGGCATATATATAGCTGCAGTTAGGTGGAATTCCTTTTCGGATATACATATCAAATTTCACTATATTGGCATTATCACTATCAGATCCCGCATGATTATAGGGACTCTGCAAACTAATTAACGTAACTGTGTGAGAAATATATTCTTCACAATATATATATCTGTTGTATTTTCTATTTAGGAGTCAAAATATATACTTCTGTTTAGGAGTCAATCAGTCAAGATATATCCTCTGTTCAGTCTCCTTTTTTTCTGGATTTAATTTACCTTGGGGTATCATTTTTATATATTTTTCTAAAACATTAAAAAATAGACCCAAAACGCCTTTAATTTGCATTTTTGACATGCGCTTTAGTACTGAATTTTCACCCATGGTTTAGTGATACTGATATTACATGCAGTCAGAACAATGCAGTGTAGCCATAGTCTCATAGACTCAGATGAAAATACACATGGAGTCTTCTCATGCTCGCTTGATGTAATACTATGTAGTATGTATAAGACATTTCATACTCTCTCCAAATAGGCTTTTGTTAATTTGTTTTAAACAGGTAAAGGCTAAATCCGAGCAACACGGATTTGTGGCCCATTGTCGGAGAGAGTTAGGCTTTGGACTGGAACCAATTTGGAAACGACACATGTAACTTCCGGTTATTTCTGAAAGGCCCCGCTCCATTCTTTTTCTTTGGTTTTCACATGCATACTTTCATTTATATCAAAATAAATTCATTTTTAAAAGCACGAAAAAGAAGAGAGATTGCTTTAGAATAAAAATCAACGTTATAAGTAACCTCCAACATCTAAATAAAGATGTTCACTTTCGATTAGATCCTTATTTCCAAGTCATTCCAGGTAGCCATTTTTATGTATTACTATGCATATGGGATTCTCTTTAAAGCATAGCTAACAAGAATAAATTAGGGTACTAATTAAAAACTTTTGTCATCTTTCGTAAAAGTAACGTCACTGGTTTAGAAAATTCTTTACCCATATATTTCTTTAATTACGCCCAACATTATGATTAAGGCTACTATGATGTTGCTTATCCGTCTGGTAAAACAACTCATCCATTGCCCTTTTTCGGCAATTAAACAAAATTTAACGTTGGTTAGATTTGCTTTTGGCCTAAACCCTATTTTAAGGAAAAAAAAGCAATCAGTAAAAGAAGAAATTTCATGTGTTATCGTCCTTGAGATTTGTAAAGCAGTCAGCAAGATTGTCCTATCAAGTTGCTTCATGATGAATTTCACCTTTTAAAAAATTAAAAGTTTTCGATGGTTTTTGATGTAAACATTTAGATGTTGCTCAAAAAAAAAGAGTGAAACATCTAGATAAAATCCATTGACCCAAGTTACCCAACTAGTTATGGTAGTCATGATTCTCAACTACTATTATTATCACACCCATTCCTAAAGTTCAATAGATTTCAACTAAGAAATAATGTCAAAGGTACAACTGCAATATTTAATTATTTAGCATGTATATATAGTTTTGTTTGTGATATTTTGGATTTTAAAAATCTATCACTTGCAAAAATGATTTACATATACGACGTTGGTTTTAGTTTATTTAGTGGAAAAGGGTGCTCACAGTGTCACTAACTTCCATAGTGGGAGCAAGTTTATGTCGTCAATATCTATTTTGTCGGTCGATAAGTTCCAACCTCAAAAAACACAATGCCACGTTTGTATCAATTTCTGAATCTTATTTAATATTTTGTATACGTTTGTACGCGTGCTATTGATTGGTAAGTGGAATAATTCTGTGTGTTTTGTGTATGTATATACTATATATACTATGGTCCCTGACTGAATTAAGTTGCTTGAAGAAAACTCAACAGAAGTAACTGAGCATGGTCAAGCTAAGATATATTCGATTAAATCTTGACATAACAAATGGTTTCGACTTCTGCTATGCCACGGATGAATCAGACAATGCTAGCTAATTATTTCTGTTGTACCATAAAGTGCTTGACTTTATATAAGCAAACCCCACATAACATTTTGCTTAACCGAAACTTTAAGTACGAGTTCTAATTTTCAATTATGCTCTGTTTGATTAGATTGATACTCCTATAAAGTTCTATTTGTGTATTTAATATATAGCTCTTTTAAGTATTTGATCATATTGTTTTTGTGCGATTCAAATTCGAGTTGAGATAGAGACTCTTGACGTGACCTTACGAGCAATTGTGATAGTGTTCGTGGTGATCAATAGATGCACACGAGTCACAACAAACTATATTAAAAAAACTCTATCGACGGTTGAAACAAGAGCTCTAATTAATGTTGTTGGTTACACTCGGTTTTGGGATATGGTTTAGAAAAGCACAACTCTTCTTTAGGAGAACGACAAGACATAAAACGTCGTCGTTACCTATTGATTAATGACTTGGTCAATGAAAATAATCGCATTTGGTGTAATCTCAAATATTACGTGTTCTCCATTTTCCATAACCAGCCAAGCAAAACCACCAATGACCAATTACGTCTCTCCTCTTTGGCCGCGCCCACTCATTCTTATAATTTATCTATTCGCACCTTCTATTTTCTAACAGTTACACTATGACCCCTAACCTTTTACTTTTATCCACTCAAGCCCCCTTTTTTTTTCTTCTCACTGCACGAGTTCAGGCTCGCAGACAACAATCCTCGTCACTGCCATGTCTCAAATTCAGAGCTTTGAGAAGAAAGAGAGAGAGATCAATTATTTACCTGGTGAGGCTAATGATGAAGGCTGTTGAAAAAATCTCTGCAAAATACTTTTCTTCTATGTAAAGCTTCTCTCTTTTTAACTTTCTCTCTCCTCTCCTCTGTTGTAGAAGATGATGGGCCCATTTTCAAAGTATATTTCTGTGATTGTTCTCTTTTTCTTCTCCTGTGGAGGCTAGCTAAGGCCACGACGTTGTGGTTGTCAAATTGGCATAAAGTTTCCACTTTTTTACTCAAAATTTTCTCCCATTTCTCTCTCACTTTTTTCTTTGCCTTTGCCCAATTGAGAAATCCTCCATGAAAACTAATGGTTTTGTCGGTCATCGATAGATAATAAGACACTTCAAATTTAATATTTATCTCTTTCTTTCTTTCTCTTGTTTGTCAAAAGATGCCCACCAACACAGAAAAGATTAAAAAAAAAAAATCTCTTTTTATTTGAATGTTGAACAGTAAGAAGAAGAAGAAGAAAGATTTTGTATTTCTTCTCTAATTGGATTTGTTTACTCTTTTATTCTGTTGGGTTTGTTCATCAACTTTGGATATTAAAGCTGCAATTTTTTTTTTATGATCAAAGCTTTTCCCTTTTTTTCTTCCTTTTGTTGATTTGATCGTGTATGATTACGGAAGCTTGGGGTTTTATCAGACAAAACCTGGAAAAGTTGTCAGATGAAACAATGTGGTTGGAGATTGGATCATCAAGATACGCTAACTTGTCCTCTGTTTTCAAGTTTATAAGATTCTGAAGCTATCATTTGCTTAATCTTCATTCTCTCTCTCTCTCGCCTTGGCTTTAAAGAAATCTCAATTGTCTTCTTCTTCTACCGTTTTGTCCGGCGATCAAAGCTGGTTCAGGAAAAAAAGAAAGTTTTGGAATTTACCTCTGCTGCAACTTGCATCACTTTTTTATTGGATTTTCTATGGCTTTGCTCAGACGTAAGCAAATTAGATGAAATCCATTGCTACAATCGCTGTTGCCCTTCAATGAAGTTTGGAATTTAAGGAATTCAGGAGAATCTAATCTAAGAGGTACTTTCTTGTACTTTCCTCTTCTGTCTTTTTCCAACAGGGAAAGGTGTCTGATTTCCTCCATAAGTCTGTGTATCTCAAGCTTTGTGTTCTTAGTTCTCATTAATTTTACCTTATTAGTTGAAGAAGTAAGCTAATTATATGATTGTAAAAGGAGTTTGCTTTAGGGAACTGGTAGAGGATCCTTTAATTCTTACTTCTTATCTTAATTTCTTTCTCAAGAATTCCATTGCAGTGTTTAGGAAGGATAATTCTTTCTTCTCTTTTTAAGTACGTCTAAGCGTGGAAATTTTTGGTCTTGTTCTCTTGTTGTTTGTTTCTCAAGGATCTGAGATTGTTGTCCATAAGTAGAGTTTACGGGAGTTCTAATTTCTTTATCTGAAACTCATTATTGTACCGTTGTGTGTGGTGTGTCTCATAGTTTGCTGCTTAATAGTTTTCTTGTTCTTCTTCAGCATTTCTAAAGGGACAACGTTAGAGAAGATTAGGAAGCATAGAAAGCCATGGCGAAGAAAACACAACGTCGTGCTGCTGCTCGACAGGAGAGGGAACAGTTAGGGTGCATGTGGGGATTTATGAATATGTTTAATTTCCGCCATGGACCACTGGCTCACAAGCTGCTTCTCGACCAAAAGCATGGTAACAACCTTTTCATGTCTCTGGCATCTTTGGTTTTGCAATACCTGCGAAAGACTTCTTTTGGCTAATAGTTATGTTAATTGCTCAGCTGCTGGAAAACATAGGAACGATGAGCTTGACAAGTCCAAATTCCGCGAAAAGGATGCTCAAGAAGCCCATGTAAGCTCTAACTTTATTAAGAACATCCATAACTTGTTTCTGTCCTTAAAGTTTCCTATGGACTAATTTAGTTGTTCCTTGAACTGTTAAAAGGTTGGTGAAGAACGCAATATCACGATAACGATTATAAAACCAAGTGTGAAAAAGCTCATAGCAGAAGAGTTGTCCATTGACAAGGAAATCAAGAAGCAGAGGGAGAATGCTGAAGCAGGACAGTTGTCAGACTCTGAACTTGAAGGAAGAAGAAGGAAAAACCAGAGGAGAAAAAACAAGACACGCAAGAAAAGCTGCGATAATTTTAGCCATATTAACTTAGTTGACAGTGAAGAGCCTCAAGTTCAACGCAGAAATCATAGGTCTGCAAGGAGTGTTGACATTGATAATATGATTGAAGAGTTCTATTCTGAGATTCATCGCAGAAGTACAAGCCGTGCAAAGAATGACGAAGATTACAAAGAAAAACTGAGGGAGTTGGTCAAGTTTTTAATTAGTCAGAAGCTTTTACATGGGAACCGTCCCAGAGGAAATAGTGAAATCCTTACGTCTAAGGATTTGATGGAAGTGTTTCAAATTCTGGGATCGGATGAAGAATTGTTTCTCAAACTTCTGCAAGATCCAGAGATACTCGTGCCAAGGGAGAAAGGAGCAGAAAGCTTGAGCTTGTTTGATTCAGAACAATCTTCTCTTGCTGATAAAAAATGGTCTAGCTTTTTCAGGAGGAAAGATGCACCACAAGAAGAATGTGAAGCTTCTGACCGGATTTTCATTCTAAAGCCAAGATCAGCAAGCTTTTCAAGCCCGGACATAGGAAATAGTCATGGTTCGTCACCTGATTCTCATCTGATGGGAAACAAATTGCAGAACGAGAGAAACAGTTCACATTTCTTTCTTTCTGAGATCAAGAGGAAGCTGAAACATGCAATTAAAAAGGAGCAACCGGCCGGGGGATTTGGGGAAGGGTTTCCTAAAACTAAAGATCATTTCTTTCTCGAGCGGATGGCAAAGCCTTCAACATCTCAGAAGAAATCTCATAATGAAGATGATAAAAAGCAAAGGGTATCCAACATTTACATAGAGGCCAAGAAACATCTGTCTGAGATGTTAAATAATGGAGATCCTGATTCGAAGTCAACGAGCAGACAGGTTCAAAGAAGCCTAGGGAGAATTCTCTCCTTTCCTGAGTACTTGTCTCCTCTAAACAGCCCAGGAAGAAGATGGGAAAAGAGCTCAACTGCTCACAAGAAGTCTGCTTCAGCGGATTTCATAAATCTTGTGAACAACAAGAAAGAAACTCATGCGAGCCAACCAGGGGAAAATGCTGATATTCAGGTCTGCAATCTAAGCGAAAAACCTGACGATTCTATCCAACCAACGGCAACTGAACCTACTGAGAAAAGTGTTGACATTGAGGATGAAACTGCTAACGAAGATAAAATGTCTTCTGCAGGTAATAATATTTCTGTCTCATAGTAAGGCTCTCTGTTTTGAGAAAGCAATAATTAATTTTATAACCTGCTAATCTTCCAGGTTCTGCAGATGATGTAATGATTCTCAATGAGATAGATGTAGTTCCAGAGGAAGCAAGCTCTACTTTGATTGGTGACTTGTGCAAAGTAGAAGCTCATGATGAACAGAGAGATGGTATAATCTCAAAACAGGCAAGTCATTTTGATTCAACACTATGATAATATCTTTTTGTATGACCCCTTGAAATGGTGGAAGACTTAAATCGGTTTTGCTGCTTCATTTTTTCTACAGACCTCTCATGAAGAGAGCCAACCACCACTGTCTTCCTCTGTGGCCTCACCATCTCACTGTTTAGCTAAAACTGAGGAGTGCAAATCAGCTAATACCGATTTTCCGGAGTGGTCAAGCCCAATATCAGTTCTTGAGCCACTCTTCGTTGAAGATGATATAAGCCCAGCAAAAATGCGATCTCAGTCTGGTATGTAAAAAGCAGATCCCAACATCTACTACTAGACTTGGATTCTAGTACTCATTTCTTCATTATTGATTCATATTTACGACTCAGGTGAAGCAGAGGTGCAACCTTGGTGTATCCACTTCGATGAAAAAGATCCTGTAACCAAAAACCGAGAGAATTCTGTCACAAGTGACAAAGAATTGGTGTTTAAGTATGTAAAAGCTGTCTTGGACGCAGTAGACTCAGACTTTGAAGAGCTCTATCTGAAGGCGCAATTCTCTGACCAGCTTCTGGAACCGGCACTTATCAGCAATATACCGTTCTGTCCAAATCAGCTTTGCCCTGACCATGAGCTCCTCTTTGACTGCATCAATGAAGCTCTCATGGAGTTATGCTGTTGCCCACCTTGGGCTTCGTTTGTTACACCAAGAACCAGAGTCTTCTGTACCGTCAAAAGCATCATTCATGAGGTTCAAGAAGCGGTTTACTGGCATCTCTTGCCATTGCCACTCCCTCACGCCTTGGATCAGATAGTTAGAAAAGATATGGCTAGAGCTGGAAACTGGTTAGACATCAGATGTGACATTGACTGCATTGGTTTTGAAACTAGTGAACTGATTCTCGACGAGTTACTCGAAGAGCTCACTCTCAACTCTCTCAACAACACTGAGCACTCACTGGTTTCACCTGAGTTGAAGACCGATGAGAGAGCATCCTTATTTTATAAAGGTCTTGAAAGCTGAAAACTCTTTTCTTAAAGACAAAGCCATACAGCTGCAAGCTCTGAACATAACTTTTACCATTGCTAATTTTTTAGCACAGAACCATGTAGATACTTTGTATTACTCAGACAATAACCTCACAGAGCTCCGGTCTGATCAGAAACTACTGAGAGGGAGTGGGAGGAAAATAAGATCGTCCTTTCAAGACCAGACCAGAAACTGTTAGTGGTGGGGTCATCATAGAATCACTTTCAAAGACAGTCTTCTTCTTTAAGGATATTATTATATAGGATTTGATTTATTTTATGTTTTTCTAGTGTGTTTGTGTTTGTGTGAAGATGGAGAGATGTGATAGTGTTTGTTTTAAGTTGGTTTGTGTAACATTTTCGGAGTTTGACATAACAATGTACTCCCTCCGTATTTTAATAATTGTCGTTTTAGAATTTTTATTTTTTTGAATTGGATGTCGTTTTCAAATTTCTATGCAAAATTTATTACTTTTTAATGTTTTATGACATCATAAAACATTAAAAAATAAGAAATTTTGCATTGAAATTTGAAAACGACATCTAATTTTTAAAAAAATAAAATCCTAAAACGACACTTATTAAAATACGGAGGGAGTATTATGGATTAGGAGGACTATGACAATCTAAAAGTTTTTTCTATTTTATATTTTATTGATGAAAATTAAAGGATATAAGATTGGTTGAGTTGATAACAAGACAATGGTAGATCAAAACTAGAAAAAGTGTTGTAAATTGTAATCTAACGTTGATAACAGGACACGATAAATATCAATGGAGTTTTTAGTAAGAGGAAAGAAACAGTCATAATAAAAATCTGTAGAGATTTTTACTCAATGGAGAAATGAATTTTATGGATCATAATATATATAAAGTTTTGGATAATGTTTTTGTAGTTGTTGCACTTTATGCCCTACTTAGTGAATAACATTTTCTTTGATGGGATATGGTTATGTGGACACAATAGATAGTACACCTGATAAAGATGGATTTTAAGAAATTAACAAAACTGAATGAATTACATATATACAAACTAAGATATAATAACATGTATTGTTTTGTAAGAATTCATGAAAGTTTTCTTCTTTTTAATATTAATATATTTATTTTAATTTTGTAAGAACAATGTATAAAATGTATAATTGGATCATATAGTTCAACAATCAACATGTCATTTCTATGTTCTTGTTTTAGTATATTACCCTTTGGTTACGTTATTTCTTTGATCCTATAAATGCTTGTTGGGGGATGATTGTACAATTTAATGAGTTAATCTCCGATCTAATACAACAAATTGACAGATAATATAATAACTATTACCCTTTAAATTAGAGTCATTGCTTCTTATTACCTTCATTTTTCATTATTATTTCTCATTGTTTGATTTGAATAACTTTTCGTGCCAAATAAAAAAAACGAATGAAAGTAATTAATAAATAATAAATACTGAAATTTGAAGGGTAATTGTTATTATTTTTATAGGTCAATCCGTTGTATTATAGATCGTAAAAATAATAACTATTACAATGGTATGACCGATAAAAAATAATAACTATTACTTTTTAAATTATAGTAGTTGCTATTTATTATCTTCATTCTTTTTATTTGAATAATAAAAAACGAATGAAAATAATAAATAATAAGAACGGTAATTTAAATAGAAAACGACAAATTTTATATTATTTTAACATGAATCTATTTTATACTTTCAACTATAAAAACAAAAAGAAGATATTGTCAACACTATTTTCCATCATAAACAGTTTTTAAATCATTAAAAATTTGATTTGTATTAGTGTTGTTCTATGTTACCATAAAAAATTCAATCTCGCATATTGTATGTTGGTGATACATTATATTTTAAACAGTTGCTAAAAACAAAAAAAAATCATTAAACCAATATGCTGCTTTCTTATTTCAAATTATTTGATTTGAGTATTAAAAATAATAAAAATAAGAAACAATAACGACCGTAATTTAATAGAAGACGACAATTTTTTTATTTTATTTTAACATGAATCTAAATTATATGTTCAATTGTAAGAAAACAAAAAGAATACATCCAAACAAAAGAAAATGTTTAAACCACTAATTTTACAATTGATCAAAGCAAATATAGATGGGATCATAGTAATGAATTCGAAATCTAAGACCATAGAAAACATGCCATAGGAGCTTTAAAAATCTAAAGAATAAAAATGTGAAAAATCCGAAAAAGGAAATAAAAATGGATTCAGAAGACGAAACCCTTGTTGCATCCACCATCATGTCAAAACTAGTCTCTCTAATAAATATACTACTAGATCTTGACCCGCACATACGTGCGGAGTTTCATATTTTAAAAAAAATTCTAACAAATTTTAATTCAATATAGAGTATTTCGTTGTTTCTATGATATATATTTTAGTGTATTAGATCTGGATTCACACCTACGTGCAGAAATATTTTTATAGAAATTGTTATATAGATTTTAAAAATATAAAATATTTTGTTGTGTTAGTGAACTTTATAATAGTATAAATATTATAAAATTAGAGTAATGAACGAAATTCAGTTGCGTTAGTGCATAGTTATATTTTAAGATCCTGACCTACACGTACGTGCGAAATTATATTTAAGATAAACTAAGATATAATTTAGTTGCAAAACTTAAATGATGTTACTTTTTTTATTTTCTAAACTAATCAAAACATTTCTAATAGTTTGATTACATGTGTTAAATAGGATATAGATTCGGTTTGAGTTTGGTTATTTCATGTATATTAGCTAGGCGTAACTATTTTGGAACGGGAAACCTATCCCGTCTTGTATATGTCATAAATTCTTAGTCCCATAACCCGTATCGTATACATGAAATAAAAATATGACGGTCCAGTATCCGGCATAAATAGAATATGTGTAACTGAAAACGTACGTACAGTATGTAAACAAATTTATTTTATATAGTGCTCATAACCCGAACTCATACCAGTTGGGTATTTAGTTTGATTTTTAATTTATGTTCCCCTCCTATCCCGTCTCGTAATTCCTATTCTCATTTCATTCTATTAAAATCATGTTCCAAATTCTTGTTTGCTTACTTTTAAATACCATACAATACATATTGTGAGTTTTGCAGATTAATATATATGCTGCTAAAGTTACAAATATATTTTAACAAATTTATTAATGTTTCTTTCCTTAGCTAAATATTGCATATTCTTCTTTTTATTGTTTAATCATACTTAATTTGATTTTTGGACTAAAAATAAAAATTTGAAATACATCTCTAAAAGGGATATGCTATTGCTGCATAATTTGTTTTGAATTCAAAATATATAATTAGTTTACATTATTTGAAAACTGTGTGCAATATATTAGGGATTTATTTAAGGAAGGTCCGGTTGAAAAACAAAAAATAAAACGCAAAATAATTTAGAAATTAATATATACAATCTATTGTTTAGATATTTATCAAACTTGCTCTAAACGAAGGCTATAATGATAATTACATTAAATTTATTATTATTTGAGTTTATTTCATAGTAAATATAAATAGTTGTTAATATCTAATATCGTATTTTAGATATTGTGAAATAAAATTTTGTTTTATATTTTAAAATTTGTGAAAATATTATAACAAAATTGAATCTTAAAATATTTGTATTTAATTTTCTTATAAAATTTTAAATTCAATCTTAAAATCCTCCATTGATAAATCTTTTAAACGATAGTGTTTTTAATTTTGAATTAAAATGATATTATTTTTCTTTTTATTTTTGATATAGAATAGTCTATTACGATTGCTTTAAATAAAATCTTAGTGGGATATCAAATCTTAGTTTTTCAATTCTCATTGGTTAACAATTTTTTAAAAATTAATTTCAAATTTTCGTTTATAATTAATAGGAGAGAGAAAGTTAGTTTAATTTTTTGGAAATTAATAATTATTTAAAAGAATTAAACTATTTTTAATTTAAATATATTAATTTTGTGATTACTATTGTACCCTTAATGAAGTTATTTAAAAACACTAAAAACTAATGGCAATCTTTGTAATATCTTACACTTTATAAGGTTATTTAAGTTAGAATGATTCCCAATTAATAGTATAGATTTTACCCATTTAGCCCCTAGGAGCTAGGGAAGAAGACGCAAGGACAAAATCGGTAATATAAAAACCAGAAAAGGTTAAGATTTTCTTACCAGAACAGTGTGTGTTAGATCGAAATTCGATCGATCAATCGAAAAGAGTTTGTTGTTGCTTCGATTCTTCTTCTTCTTCTTCTTTTGGTCTTGAATTTGGTGTTGTTCTGTTCCTTCTTCTTTCCTCGAGCACACGATAACTATTTCACATCCCAAATTACGGAATCACAAAAATCTGCAATAAAGGAATTTTACACAGCAGAGAGAGAGAGAGAGAGCATTCGTCGTCGTCATTACACCAAAAAGTGCACAAGAGAGGAGATTGAAAAAAAGAGTCAAACTTTAAACCAAAGCCCAAGACTCTTCTTTGCTTCTTCTTCTTCTTCTCTTCTTCTTCTGGGCCTTGTTATTTTATTGGTTTCGTATTCCGCTCTTTCTATCTTTCTTCTTCCTCTGTGAATCTCTCTCGCGCTCTAGATTTCCCCTTTGTTGGAAAACCCTCAATTTCTTCAAAGCTCCAAGCTTTGATTCTGTCTTCGTTACCAATCACTCCCTTGATTCGTCGAATCTCGGGTTCTTCTTCGAGTTTGTCTCATCAGGGTCGAGGAATTTGCTGTCAAAACCCTAACTTTGGTTCGACTCCGGATTGTGGGGTCATCTGGAGCTCCTATTGGTTAGTTTTCGATTTGAAACCCTAGTTTGTTTTTTATATGTTTGTCGTACGGATTAATATTGCTTGCGTAGTTGGATTTGGTAATTTGATGATCATGGAGATTGTTTTCTAGCTCATACAAGGATGTAGTTTTGTTTGCTTTCTATCTGGATTTGTTCTTCTCTTTCTTTCTCTGGTATGTATGTAGCTAGAGGCACTGTGTTTTCAACTGGAAATAAACACTTCTTCTTCGATTAAGCATGTTAGTTTAATTCAGATTCTGTTTTGTTTATAGAAATATTGTTCATGATGATTATTCATATAATACTGGAACTGAGCTTTTCCAGGATTTCATGTTTTCTAGTTTGGTTGCTTTGTTAGGGTTAGTTTACATTTACTCAAC